GACGTGTCACGTGTTCTCCATCTCACGACTTCATGTCCGCTCATAACTATAGGTACCTGGTACCTAATTCTTATAATAAAACCATTATTGTTTGTCGGAGTTAGGATCACAAGTTACGCGAACTTAATCGAATACGCATTTGTCTCCTGGCGGGAATGTTGCTTACATGATATATAAGTGGGTACCAATAATCAGAGTCTGCGGTTTTTTAGTCAAAGTTTGAACTTGCTTGAACGCAGTTCTGAGTATATAATAATATAAATCATAACAAATGCGATGCAAGTAAACACATTTCTCCGCCGCAGATCGCGCAGACGACGGACGTTGTGTTTTTCGTTGTATGAAACAACGAAAGGTCAACGGGTCGGAAAAATTTGACAGGTTTGAAAGTTTTACGACACCACGAAAACCTAACGAAATAACATTGTCTGAACGATATAATTTTTTTGTTTTGTAAACAATAACGGACGGCGATTTGGATCCTCGAGAATAATCGTAACATGATGTTACCCATAGATGCCGCCGCGAAAGGTTCCTATTTTTTACGTAACATTAAAAAAGCAATCCATCCTTGTATATCGACGAAACGATTTGTTTACGCGGCGCTTAAACATTACATAATTTCATAAATGTTTTCACGATCGAACCGCTGTTCAACTATTATATAATACTATAGTTTGGTAGGTAGTTGTTTTGACAGTATTTGACAAAACCTTTGCAGTTTACACACATTGAATAATATGTCAACTCATTCTCCATCGAGTGCTCGTGGAACAGACAGACGGTGCGACATTGCAACAATAATAATTTGAATAATAACGTTTTGTTACAGAAGTTTTTTTGCGGGCGGTAACACATAATTATTATACTCATATGTTTACCTATGCCGTACGTGACATTATAGGTTGTGATTGATTCGGCGGAACGAAATTAAATATTTTGCACAATTAACGGACATTATCCTTACGTTTCGATATATAATTTTACCCGCTGCTGTCAGCGATTTTGAATATAATCGTTTTCTTATTTATTATTATGCTCTCGACTCGGTTTCTATAAATTACTAAGTGTATACCGTGACTAATTATCGCCGTTAAACAATTTTTGTAATAAATAGTATAATGTTATTTTGTGTCTAGTTAGGTATAATAGTTAAATACAAATATTTTTTTTTCGGTTTATTATGGTCTATTTTTGGACCCGTTCTTTGGCACGCAGTTTTATTAATGCGGTCGTACCAAATGATACTGGAAACATAAACTAAAAATAACCGATCCTCCTCCCCCTACTTTGAGTCGGAGAGACAATGTTTGGCAGAATATTTAGCGTGGTGCCGTGTGCACTTGTGGTGACGAAATGGTTGATATTTTTCACTGTTTTCCTACCATAATTCAGCGAATAGATCATCGAGAAAACATATTATTTTAATATTCTATTTTTAAAATTTATTAAGAGTACTGATGATGGCTACGTGTTACGCCTGTACAACGAACAATTTGTAATTTACACTATTTCAACGAGTGGCAGATTAAACGATGGAAAGGTGAAATATTAATCTAAACATTTAAGTAATATAAAAATATTTGAATATCAAGGTTAGGTGTTTATTGTTTTTTTTTTAGTCAAATCAAAGAAATGTATAATATTTTTCACCATAGCAAATTTATTAAAACTTAGTGGAACGAATTTCCTATGCGTTCATTATAATGTATGTACAGAAAACTATATACATACGATTACCAAAAAAATATTTATACACTTCAAATCTAAAAATGGAAAAAAATTACTTTCGATTAAACTCATTATAATATCTTAATTGTTTAGGAAATATAACGACAGGTTTACGATCCTATTAACAATGCTTTTAAGTTACAATACTTTTATGGGTGATGTATGCAATATACGTATAACATTCATTTTAGATTGTATATTACGCGTTTTATTGTCCGAACGGATATTATTATTGTATCCTTGAGTATGCGATCCAAACTCAAAGTTGGCCTCATAAAATTACACCTTAATATAATGTATTTTAAAAAGGCGTGATCGTTTAAATTGCATAAAATTGTCAAATAAACCGAACAATACCGTTGCCTATTACGGTGCGACTTATCACTGTATGATGTGTAGACACCGTGAAAGAAATAGCATTATACTCATTATATCTCAGAGTGCACATGATGTGAAGGACTAATAGTTATAATGCAAACGGTTAAACTTCGGACTTTCTGAATAAATTATAAACCGTTTTAATTATTTATTATAAGTTATTAAAATTATAAATATTATATCATTGGTATATTATAGGTACACATATAAAATTAACTCAGGCTTTTTTATTTTAGTCGAACATACGTCCATAGGTAAACAAAAAAAAACATTACAGTGAAAACAAACGTAATACTCTTTATTCTATTCGGTATTTGAGTACGTGCATATCTGTATAGGTACTTATACAATATATATTATGCGTGTGTCTCGTTACGTATAAATGGCACTACGCTATATTTGTCCTCTATAACAGATGAAACATATGTTACATATTGTTATAGGTAGATATTATTTATTAGTAATTTCTGCAGCTAGAGCGTCACAACGAACGATGACAACATTTAAAATCACATCACGAACATATAATAATATGGTAGGTAGGTGCCCATAATTATTGTAAAACGATATTTGAATATTTTAAGACGACGTATGACCGTATTGGTATTGTGAGCGTTTAAGTATTCGTCAATGCCGTGTCAATGTATTAGTGGTACAAGTATACCAACGGCCAGACAGAGTTGATTGAATGCAGAATCCGGTTTCCTTGTGTTTTGAGAGATATGTAATCATTGATCGATTATACAAAACAGATTATTTTTTATGGATTTTGTTGGTTTTATCTGAAATGCGTACCCCTCTCCCAGAACGCGAATGGCCTATGGTTATGTAATTTTAATGTACGAGTGGACGATCTTGAAATAATATGTTTATAAAAGTTGTAATAGACAGACATAAAAATGCTAGGAGCAGATCTCTACATGACTTTCTTTGTTTACCTACCACAACCTATATATAGATAAACCTAAAAAATATAATATTATTTTAACATAGTTATGTTTTTGGGCTGGGTACAAATTTTTTTTTCCAAACGATTTTGACGAACGCTAGATAGTTCACTGCCATGGAAACTCAAATCAACAAAAAAAAAAACAAAAATGAATTCCCAACAATAATATGTGGCGTGCTGCTAGATATTTTTTCACTGCACCATACCCGAAAACATATCTATATGATTTCTCAATTTTCCTTACAGATGCTACATTTTTCAATATATTATAATATTGGGTTTGAATATTATTTAATATTGCAGCTGGGTACTAATCGTTTATAGTTACATACTGTCCAAAGCCGAACAAAAATTATCTCGTTTTAAAATTTAAACGTTTCCGCAAAAATAAAAAGTGCTCGCATTTTGTGTAATGCGCACACTAATCTGATTTTTAGGGTCTTTGACCTTATGAACAGGACGCATTCAGATTCTATGGCACATTTTTACCACCATACTTCCACTATACGCATATTATAGTACCTACAGCCGATTTAATTAAAAATGTGAGTTTAAGCATTTCGATTTGTATTTCTATAGACGTCCGTGGTCATTATTCGCCAACTGTATAATAAACAATAATCCGCCGCTAATTAGAGCATATCTGCATCAGAGCGGTCGTCACGAGTCCAACAAACGATTGCGCAGGCGTGCACTTGGAACACTAATGGCCAACAATCGAGGGTGCCAAAGGCATTGATCTAGACATATAACGGACACAGTCTTTAAATATCCGTTTATTTTTCGTTCCATTAAATTCCTGCGCGTTTATATTATAATACGGTATACATTATATGCGATGGCAACATACCTACACACACTCGACTTTGCGGATCTCCCCTTGGCGTAGTATAAGACGCGAATAATTCAGAAACAGAGATTGGCAACAGTCTGGAGCACATGGCCTGCGATTCCGGCCAATTATTTCAGTGCGATATTATAATTTATATCTAATGCTGTTGCGCGAATAAAATACTTAACACAGAAAAATTGCAAACAAATAAATCACACGGACCCCGCGTGCGTTTGTGCGCATTATATTGTACGCCGTCGGGATAAATTGGACACGGGTAAAAGCGAGCGAGCCACAGTAATCACGGTTTTTTTACAGAAAAAGCATGGAAACGCCTCTCTTTTCTGCAGTATTATAATATATACATAATACATATATAGGCTGTAATGGATTTTTCATTCTTCGCATCCAATTTTCCACAGGCTCACGGCAGATGTGTATTGTCTGCGTCTTACAAGCAATAGCATAGCAAATTTGCGTTCAGCCGAACCTGCAGTAGGTCACTTTACACTAACATCACCACTTAATTGGTTCTGCAAAATTCTCGATGTCGTACGTTATTAATTGTTTTATGCGAATATAGCACGCGTATGCTACATCAGCGACCTCTCTCGAGATGAGTAAAAGAAAACAACAAACGTTTACATTTTTGTAGTATAAAATACGCGCGGAACATACCTATCGTTTCTTCTCATTCTATATTATACTTTCATCGAAAACGTGAATTCACATCAACTTACGAGTACAATTTTTTGGACGGCAAAGCGGCGATGGCGTTACCGAATCGTGAACTCCCATTCATGCGGCTAAGCCCATAATTCATATGGTAATCAGATTTGAATTTGTTCTGACAATTCGAGAAAATTTATAATGCTCGATAAAAACATAAATTATAATAATTTTATTGGCCCTCGTATCATGTTCTGCAATTATTAAGATTTACTGTTGTAAATTATACAATCATATAATATAATGTGAAGCCAAGATTTTAATTTTTATTATTCAAACGATCGGTAGGTACATTTGCATGTAAAACATCGTGCGCGTATAGTAATAAACATGTATAAATTTGTGAGAAAACCGAATTTTAAAAATAATTTTGAATATGTTATGCGAAATTAATCGAGACACATATAATATATGCTTTGTTGTGGAGCCGAAAGTCAGTCTGTTTATAATTACGTACGACGAAAATTTGGTCTTTGGACACTATAAAATTTCGTTACAATTATGTTTACGCCGTGTGCAAGTTTTATTTACAGTGTCTCGGCCTGCTGGCCAAGGCCGACCCCTGCACACCGCCGCCGCCGCTGGGGCCACAGCGGTAGCATATTATACATATAGTATATATGTGGTCTTGTCTGATCATCTGGCGCCCCGCGAGTTGGATTAAAATGTGATTTATTAACTGCCGAGACGTCAATTACCTCTAATCGCGTACATTTCGGCGTTCAAATGTCACGTCGCACAGTGTTATGCCTTGGCAATCGGTCGCACGTATATATTGTTGGTATGTCTTGCGGGCGATCGGTCGCACGACGTCCGTCGTGTGTCACACACACATTGCGGTAATTAATAAACAGACATATCGTGCGATGACAGTTCGTTTTGTTCCGTTGGTACATCAAGCACTCGTCTTTGCATATTGACATAATTGTATTGCCTGCGTTAGTGTAATGCGTTGTGTTCGAGAGAACGTTCCACCCGTTTATTAAAATGATGTCAGTAGATGTTCTGAAATCAAGTGTTTGGAGAGAACGCGTTTGTGAACGTTTATATATTTTGTTCTTATTCGATATCGTAAAATAAATACTACCTGAATATAATAATAATATGTCTATTTTTTCTAAAGTATTATCCTTTTTTGATTTTGTAATAGTTTACTATAGCTCTAAAATTGCACTCAAGAACCGGTGAAATAGCCAATCTGTGTAAACACCCTATAGTTGAAGTCTTTGAGTTTCTATAATATTGCATAGTTTCACAATAATTAGACACCCAACCATCAATATGAAATGGCATTAACGTGGTACCACCTGTAAAATAATCTGAATTATTGGTTTATAATATAATGTTTAAATTATTCTTAAAATGTTAAAATTGCCTAAATCTACTAAAAAATTAAGATGATGTCATCTCACGATTTGTTTTCTTTCTATCTCTGAACCAAGCGTTAGATATACCAAATTTAAGTACATCATAACGAACGTTATATTATTAGGTACTTTAAGTATTAGAGCGAATTCACCTATAGTCAAACTTTAATTCAACAACATTACCTGTGCCAAACATTGGATATTTTATGATATTTTAATTTTTAAGTATGTTATAAGAGCGTGTAAAATGTCACAATTTAAAAAAGCTTATAAATTCAATAGAAATAAAAATATCGTAAAGAATGGACAGGTAATGCTCTTAACTCAAAGTTCGATTATAGGTGAATTTACTTTAATATTAAAAGTAACAATACAAAATTACCAGTTCTGCTAAACATAATTTGCAATTTTACTCGTGGGTCAGATATAGAGAAAACAAATGGTGAGCTGACATCCGCTTAATATTATTAGTAGCCAGTGTGTAAAGGCAAATTTAACATTTTAAGAAAAATTTAAACATAATTATATTATTATAAGGCAATGCTAATAATTCAAATTAGTTTACATGTTGTGGTCCAAAGTATAATTTATAAAAAAAAAACTGTAACTAGTATGTTAATGATGATTGGCGATGTAACTAGCTGTTTCTTATGAGCAAATTCAGAGCGAAAGTTAATTATTATAAAACTGAAAAAAGATAATATTTTGAAGAAATGAACATATAATTGAATTATATTATTAAAGTTAGTATTTATTTTACGACATTAAAATAACAAATTAACGTTCATAAAACTGTTCTTTTGAAACACTGGATTTCAGAGCATGAGTGATCTTAATCTTAACTAATTGTATTTAAAAATTCTATTATTAATACGTTGGGGACTTGAGATTATATTATTATCATTATCATTATTCATTCTAGGTAAGTACCAACTATTGGTATAACAAACAATATATTAATAATTAATATAAACATACAAATAGGTAATTAATATTATAAGATAATACACAAAAAAAATTATAAAAACTATGAGCTTATTATAGGTTTGAATACCTACAAAATAAACTATTAATTATAATGAAGCCTGGGTACGAAAAAAAGAAACTTAACAATAAACCAGTTTGCAAAACCCTGAAAATCAATCCATTCATCAGAATATCGTAATTGAATATACTTACTTCCGAGGACGTAAAAAAAACCAATTTTAATTAATCAAATAATAAATAATAATTTTTTCAAGTCCGAAATAATTAAAATCATGATGATGTCGTTGTGCAATATAATATAGAATGATGCATAAATATTAATTTCCTAAGCGCGTATTCTTCAACAGTGACCCAATGGCGACTGCCCACATGGATGTGTCAATTTATTATTATTACCTATATAATTAAGTCGGAATTATTATGTCAAATAAAAAATAAATTATTATTATAGCCGTAATTATGAAATAAAATGTTTTGCATAGCGATGATTAACCGGACGCTTTGACATAATATAAAAGGAAATATTACATTATTACTCCGTTTAGGTAACTTTTATGGCATCTGCAAATTGAGCACACCACCGTGGTTTGAATGCTCGATCATGACCGGAGTTCATAAAACAAATTTGTTTATGACTAAATTCAAACGAACTATTTACACATACACATCCACGATGTACCACCTGTCTGTATACATTGCTGGCGCAGTCATCGTGTTAAATATTATTAGACTACAATATTCATGTACGTCTAGCCGTCATTGACGGTAAAACGATCTATCCCAAATTATTGGTTGAAACTGTATTGTAGAGTAGAACAATGTCGCACAATATCGTAGTTCGAAATAATAATATAATAATAACATATAATGTTCGAAATCAATTATTTTTCAACGCTTTCGAAAATTTCAACAATTACCTGTGTCAACAAACAGCGTACCGTACAAAACGGTTAATTGATATAAAGCTTATCCGCAATGGATGTACATTCTCTCTCACTCCCACTCCTCTCTCTCTCTCTCTCTCTCTCTCTCTCTCTCTCTCTCTCTCTCCCCCCCAACCCTCTCGCTTCCTACATGTATTTTTGTCACTGCGACCTTACGTCCGCCGCACGCTGTATGAGACAAAAAACGTACAAGTTCCGGATAATTTGAATCGGGTTTATAAAGTGTCGGGCGAAAGTAACGCGCCACGAGTGTCGAGACGGTGGTTGCAGGCCGTATTTACCTACGTCGCTGCACAAGCCAATTGTTGGCCAATATAAAAAGACTTATTACAGCAGGTACCTACCTACCCACTTCAACGATATGTTCGAGTTTATCTGACTAACGACATGATTTTATTAGGTACATGCAACATGCCTACCTATTTACAATTAAACATCGACTGTAGTGGGTTACAACTTATAGTTGTAAATATCCGTAAACAATATCTAGACCTACCTAAACAGTTATCCAACAGACGAAATTACTATCACAGATTATATTATAAAACTGGATGGCGCACTTCTGCATTTACTGATAACTCGAACCCACCTCAATGCAGTAGGATCACATAATTGTTATCAGCAATAAATTATTATTGTACAACACCTTTACTATATTGCGTAGTCAATGATCAACAATAAAAACTGTTTTTTTCTATTATTAGTTGTGATACTGATTAATTGAGGTAGGTAAGTGTTGAGAATTACCTAACTGAAGAAGCGCACCATTCGATGTTATACAATCTCAACTACTAGTATATTTCGAACTACCTACCTACAATAATAATAATATAGGACCTACTTTAAAATATTGTTTTAAGGTCAAAATACTGCTAGTGTATGGCTACATAATATAGGTATATAATAGATGACATTTTTGGAACAATACCAATATTGTTATGTAAACTCACCTACTGTGAATAAATTTAATAATTTTACTATAGCCTATTATTGATACTACTATTATATAATATATAACATACATTTTGGTGGGCAGACTTGGCTTGGAAACCATGAATCGTCGAGCACGACCTATTGGCGAGTAATGTGCGTTCACTCAGACTACTCGAAAAACCAACGACAGATGGCGCCAAAGAAACATTATATTTTCATATTTTCATATTTTTATTTTTCATTTAAATAACCGTTTGACCAACATCGTTAGTAAAACAGTTAGTTATAATATGAGACGTACAAGCGTACTGTTCGGTGGCATGATTTTTTGAGGGAGGAAGCTACAGTTCCAAATTGACCAATATGGTTGTACTGATTAGACTGGCCCGCCGACCCAATGGCCCAAGTCCAAAGACCAGTGACAGTCAATTGGACAAGTGATTCTTTAAATTTTAAAACTGCCAAATTACATCCACCACGATTTCTGGAGACTAGCTTAAACGTTCAACAATGAGACCATTAATAACAACCATTCTAAATGTATCATCATTAATTATTTCTTAGGCTGTTGTTATTCAGCCAGTAGTCGAAAACGTGTGGCTCCCGATCTCAGTCTAAGTGAAACTTAAGTTTAACATAGCAACATATAACATAACATAACAATTTTATCTATTATCAAGATTTGTTTAAAATTATAATTTTACAATCGATGTAAATATTATAGTTAGGCTCTTGTGAAAAAATATACTTTTTATTTTATTAAAAAAATATAAATGTAAATATTTTTACAATGAATAGTATAACTTAGTGAGTACAGTTAGTATATAATTAATATATTATGAAAAACATTATTAAGTATTATAGTTTTTCTATATAATATAATATTACCTAGGTACTTACAACTATCTAATTGTGTAGTTATTTTCAGAATTTACAAATAATTGCATAAATATTTACACCATATTTTGTATAACATGCAATCTTTTATCTCCCTGAATATTTACACTGCATTAGTTAAAGTAAATGTCTACAAATTATATAGAATAATTAGGTAGTTATTCTATACAACCGTCATTCTGACTGACGATAGTTAAAATTAAATTACAAATCATTAACTAGTATCTAGGTAGATATAAAATGATTTTTTTTTTTGATATTTTAATAATATTGGTTAAATTCAGGAATTATAATATATTTTATATTTTGAATATTTTACACATAAGTACATATATATATAGGACAAACTGGGTATCTGAACTAAAAAGACACACGCAATTTTACAATTTTAGTGTGAAAATATAGACAATATAAAACATACCTACCTACTATTATTATTGATACAAAATTGAGTGATGACATTTTGAATTATACAAACGCCATGTCACCATTCTTAAAATATATTATAATAGTATTATGAGCTCGAATTGAGTCGAGAAGTTCATAAGTTAACCATGAATTATGATGATGCACCATAAACACCATCAATCGATGCACAAGCGTTGAAGTGCTATCCGGTTGTGTGAAATGTGAATCATTGTAACTATTGTTTATTATTAAATTAAAATATAATCCACACAATTGTCGTACCTGTTATCGATAACGATAACGACACCAACTATGAGTTCACTGAAGAGAAACTCATTTCGATCAAACTAATTAGTTCAGATGTTCCCAAACTGTGCTCCGGGGAGCCCTTGGTGCTCCGCAGTGGCGTACGAAGGGCTCCGTTCGTAACACCACCAAAAATGTTTAAAATTGTTCGGTTTTTAAAATGAATAATATTAAATATAATTCACTGATATGTACAGTACTTAAACGCGTAAAATCCCGATGAGAGTATTGTATACAATTATCTAATTTTAGAATTTTAGATACTACGAAACCTATTCATACCTAAATATCATTTTATTTTGACTTCCATATGTATACAATTTGTGTTTATTATTTTTCATAGAAGATAGAACACAGGCAAATAAAAATTAACGTTAAATATTTCTTGTGGGCTCCACGAGAAACTTCTACTTTAAAAAAAGGCTCCAAGCCCCGAGGCAAAGAACGTTTGGGAACCGCTGATATAGCTGAACGGTTACGAAGAATTTATTAAGTACCTACCTACTTAAATTATAAATCGTATGGTTTATAATTTTATATAGCCTTTATTTTATATTTTAGGGCATAAAGTACCTCGATATTTCATGTGATAACACCATTTAATACTTAAATATTAATAAATATAATTTTGTTGTCGTTAGACTATGTAATACGAAGGTATAAACTTATAATAATTCTTACCTCATCGCAAGCCGAACACCTCGGTTTGAATTGTTGTGCATAATGACGTTCACAATACAAATGATCTTCGTACAGACAGTAAGTTAGGTCGACAAGGAGCTCTTGGCATTCGGTACAAGTGAAACACGTCGGATGCCATAAAACTGTATCGCCAAATTTAGACGCGAATACTCCTATTTCACCTGGTTCGACGTTTTTCTTACATTTCGGACATTCCTAAGCAAATAGTGTAAACATCATTCGGTATCCTTAAAAATTACAATTTTATTTATATAATAATATACAATATGTAAATAGATACAACGTTTAGATTAAGTCGGTATCAGGATAATATAATCGATTTAATTTGAAACTACATAATTATTTGTAGAAGGTATTGGATTATAAATACTATATGGCTGCATTAACTGCACATACCAGTGGGGGCTTGACGAGACTTAGCCCACCCAAAAGTCTTTATGCTCCTTTAAAAACAAAAAATAACTATAATATTTTTTATTTTTTATTTTTATTTGTAGTTATTGAAATATTGTCCAAAATATATAGTATGGCACTTTCTGTATTGTACATGATAACAATATGTTCTTAATAATATTTTTAAATATTTTATCCGAAAAAAATTTCTTATTTTTATTAATGTGATTTGTAAACGGAGTAAATAACAATAAACTATCATTAAAGTTTTTAAATAAATTATAAAAATCTAAAAATATGTGATCTGCTTAATCGATTTCAATATAATTAATTCAATATATTTTTGTAAGTATATACAAAAAATCAAACCTGAGCGAAGGTAATGAACAATTTTAACTTGAAACAAATATAAAATACATTTTTTTAAATTGCTGTATGAACAACTTCAAAGGGGCATTGTATCATTCTTACGAACTTAATAAGTATTTAAATTGAAAATAGAATGCAATTTTAAATTCAAAATCATTTTTTTCGCAAGTTGAATACTAAAAACCAAGTAATTTTGTAATATCTTCCGCACTGAATTTTTTTAATTTTTATAATTATATTTTAAATAATTAGCCTCACATTAATAGTAGTGAATAGTACCCAATTTTTATATATGAATATAAGTTGAATTGTACATGCGTTTTTAGTTAAAATGGTTTACAAATTATAATATAAATTAACTCACATTTCAGAATTGGTTTAAACTTTAAAATTATATTTTTAAAGTTTAAATTATGTACTAAAAAAAAATTACCAATTAAAAATATAAGATAAATAAATCACTATGAGCACACCATAATAATATATTACAAAACGAATAATAATCTCCTAAAAAACTAATTGATGGTCTCTTGGAAATGCTTATGAATCTCGCAGTATAGATTCTTATGAGAATAATAGAGAATAATTATATTTGTTACAAGTCAACAGATATTTTTGATTTAAAAGGACCCAAATGTATTAGGTACATAACTTATTACAAATATTATTAAAGAAGTATAATATTAATTTGGTGCTAGAGCGAAAAATCATTCCCAAAATTCTAACTGTAAATGTCTCAACAATTTTATGTTATTGATTATTATTGATAAAATGTGAAGAAATATAACGGAATGTATTTAAAATAGCTGTGGTCTTATTTTCAGCAGTTTATGAATATTTATCTAAGTTTTTGAGAAGGTTATTTTTCATACGAGTTTGAGCCTTAAAATGTGTATACAATTGTATTGTTTGTGTAATTTTCGTTTTTAAATATCGGTGGATTCAGTGTGAGCTCACTGACATAGTTATTATTTTATTGTGCTCCATAAATTATTACGAAAACAGTGTTTAAAATATCATCTAATGATCATTTTAACGTAGGTGGTACCAATTTGGTATTCTATGAATGAATAATAACATATCATAACGAAAATACCTAATCATAATTTACAAAAAAAAAAATAAAACATAATATCATATCCGACCTTATCTATAATAGACTTAGGGTTACTTATATACTTATAAATAAAGCCCAAATTTCAAAGCAAAGTGCATTATTTTTCGGGTGCTCTAGGATCATAATGCATTCAAAGTAAATAATTAGTTTAATGTAACAGATACTTCAAAGGTGAAACTTTCATATTGTATGTCCAAGTAATTTTATTAGTTATTAGTGCATTTATGATGTATATATATTATACCATTGTATACGCTTTTAGTATAAGTTAGAAAATTCAAAATGTACTAAGAAATATTGTTTTTATAATATTTGTTAAGAGTATTTTAAGGAATAGTCATCCATACAGTTGTCTATCGTTCTATTTTAAATGAAACCGATAACGTCCATATCTATGTATCCAGTGATTATCGGATGTGGTGGATCTTACCGGGGCTCAAAAAAATTAACAACTAATTTGTCAGTTGGAGATAAATCGCGATCGCCCCTATTTCCAGTATAGGTACTGTTTAATTATCGAGAATTCTTGAGTTAAGTGTTTAGTTTTTACATTGTTATTAGTTTAGACGTCTATAGAACAACAATTTTGGTCATTTTTAAGGACAATATTGGTTTGAAAATGCATTTTTTGTTAATTTTAAGATCATTTTTTTTGTTTATAGTTATTTGGGCATTTAAATCAGGGACCTACTTTCAAGTACATAAATATTAAGTTCATATATTTTATCATATCACAATAATTGTATTTGACATTTTTTGTTTTATACGTTATACCATCAAACAACTAACCACGTGGTAAGTACATTCTCTAGCATATCCGATGTCTAAAGCTATCTCGTTTCTTGCATTTATGAAGTCTTCGTAGCTCTGATGATGCCTTTGTTCCACATGTTTACAATAAGTCAAGGCTAAGTCTTGTTTCGGTAGTTGTACGACTACCTGCTTGTCTCTGTACTTCTCGCCAGCCGTTCCCAGTTTAGGAACTTTGTTGGACGGTAAACTGTTGAAGTACTTCTCTACCTGTAACGCATAACGTAACAATGAAATTATGACGGCCGTTGGTGAACGAAAAACAATTTTCCAAAGCAGTCACATGCACATGCACAGAACCGTAACCTCAAATAATATTACTGCGACACTTATTGTTGCTATATTGTGCACTATATACCTTGTGACTAGGCAGCCCAGGAGGAACCCATGAGTACCCTTGGCTGTAAGACCTTTCCTTCGACACTCTCTTGTCCGGGTCTTGAACGGGCTTGAAACCAAGCCGGTCGCGAACGTTGACCCACTCCTCGTGCAGCACATCGTGCGAGTCTTTCGTGCATTTGCAGCTACCGCATGTCTTCCTAAAACGTGACAAAAACATTTACACTTTGGAAATGAAAAAATCGCCGGTAAACCGCGTGCGTCGTTATCGTGTGATTCAATGGTCCACTAACGTACAGGCCGTTTTTCCTCGCCAAATTATTCATTTATGTATATTGTAATCATAATATATATTACACTATGTCGTAGGCCACGTATGGAGAATTCGACTTTTCGCGAGAATTAAATACTACAGCCTTTGTGACAAGCAGACAGTTTTGAGTATTGTTTATGTTTTTCTCCCGAACATAGTCGGACGACAATCTTAAGTTAGTGTTGAGCTTAGGCAGGTACGCATCTAAAGGGGGGGCGCTAAGGGCCCAGCCTCCCCCCCCGGACATATTATTTCCAAAATTTTTTTAACAATTCTACAGATCCTGATATTACTATATTTTAAATTACATGAATGTCTGATAATATAATATATTATTATACGTATCATTCTGGGGTGCACAAACTATCACAGTACTATCTTAGTTCGTGGTGGATAGTGATTTCAATATTGTAATTTTACATTAACAAGAAATTGTGTGCCACCCCTCCCAGATCTTTACTCTGGATCCGGCCTGAGCTTAGGTAGGTATAATGTTAGATGATTTCGAGAATGGAGACCTTCAACGGCATATTATCTAGATATTATACTCAAAACGGGTAAGCCTGTCGCAAAAGGGCGCGATGCAGGTTCTCGAGCAAGAATACCAACTTTCCAGATGGCCTACGACATAGTATCATGTACGAGTGTACGGGTCAGCCGCGTGCTCATAAATATAATACATATTAATATTATGTGTGTGTACTTATATAATATATGGGTTCCAGCCGAATTACCTAATAATAAGTTCGCAAAGCTCTTCTTGCCCGAAGACTTTGCCGTAAAGTTCGAGTATTCGGACGCATGCAAACTTGAGCCCCGGCCAAGGGATTAGCGGCGAGTCCAGTCCGCTGTAAAGTGGACAACAGTGAGCTTTTAGGTCTAGCATATCCTTCGGCACCGGTCCTGCGGGAAATTATCTAACTCAAAACCCTGCACAACCAAGCCGCCGCCGACGTCGCTTTTGGGGCGTCGGCAACTGCTGCAGTGTCATCTCTAGATGATACTCGAAATAATAATCATATAAACGGGTAGGCATTTCGTTATATATTATATTTGGGACGGACAATACAAATCATGCGTTTCCGAACGTTTTCAGACGAACAAAAAATAATATAAACGTGCCCGACGACGAAAATATCCGACAAGAGAAAGCACAGTATTATATATTACTATATATGCTGACCTCTCGATTTCTATTTAAAAAAAAATCAGGATGGACTTCATGAGTAGAAATATTATAATTACTGTTTACTGTCATGTTGTCGCCGAATAGAATTAGCACTCGTCCAAAATACAAAGTTCATCTACAGCTAAAAAACATATATATGCAGGAGATAATCCGAGCTTGTTTATATAACTATACGTACAACATATCAATGGCTAAGCGTCGCACACGTGAGTTATAAACTCCTAAGAATACAAATTTTTCAGGATTGTCACATTTTAGTATTTTACGTTATAATAGTATATGGGAATGTAATGTTAAAAATAAGTGGTTTAGTGGATGTCCGTCTGCTGTACCGTGGGTTACAAATGGGTCACTGTAATGGATGGTGTTAAATTTGAATTCAACAATACAAGCTCATTGCATATGAAAAACAATTCTGAGCGATGACGGTCTGTCAGTCAATAATACAACTTAATACTTTAGTATATTTGATGATATTATTGTGATTAAAGTAATTTATTTCACTAGTAAGCATTAATACCAAGCGGCAAGCAGTAGATTAAATTCATTTTTGCTAAAAAAAATTTACATTTGAAAATTAATTGTGTGTATAATATATATTAATATACTTTGAAAGTTTCAAGTAACCACGAATAATATTTTTAAATAACAACAAAATAACACAAATCATTATTCTTGGTTATTTAATATGTATTAATGTAATAACTCTAAGCTGAACATTTTTTTTTTTGTTTTTAACTATAAAAACTATTGGTACATTTTGAATGATCGTTTAACAAAAACGAATAATAATTGAAAATGTCATATGCCTATAAATAGTTTAACACGAGTCAAAATATTTTGAAGATTGTATGGTAAATAGAAAAAGCGGATACAAACATTCAGTGAAAATTCCATGTAACTACGATATTTTCTTTTAGAGTTACGTCAAAAATCGAAATCGAATTCGTCAAGAACCGGGTTTCCGTAAAAGATACGTTTTTTGTTTTTTTTTCTTGCCACTTTTGAAATAAAAATTATTGGAAATCTTTTACTCTTGACTCCCCAAAAAATCAACAAGATTCACTTTCCTATCAGAAAATATACTGTTGAAGAAAATCGAAGAATTTTTACTGTTCCAAACCACGATGACAGAGACAAAAAATTTTTTTTTTAAATACACATCTTTGTCAAATCATTACATTCATCGCTTTGCTCAGAATCTATAACATTTAAACTATATTTCAAAAGAACGATTCAACTTCTTGCGAACGAAGTAGGTACACAGGTTTGACACCGAACCTACATACTAACTATAATATAAAATAAAAATGCAATTGCACTCTTAACCAATATTGTGCGCCCCCGACCGTATAATATAGTAGATACAATATTAGGCATGTGAAAAATATAATAAAATTGTAATTAATTCGATGGCGTTAAATGCCGCCGGTAAATATACGTAAAAGACAATTTATAAATTGTCTGATGTATAAATATATTTGATGGCAGTGATTCGATAGCCACGGTAGACATGGAAAACAATCCTAAACACTCTGTCTGCAACATGTAATACGGCCGAGAGACAAAGACACGTCCAATATTACATATCATATTATTATGTTGTATCTGACTCGTTTACACTCAAAACGACAAATTATTCCAGACCGGTTAGCGTATCGTCGGGCCGTCGCTGCGAAAACCACGACAGTAATAATTATTATTTTATGGAAACGCGGCAGAAAAAAAAAACACGACGATAAAACGATTTCCTGTTATTACATATTTTGTACACGCACAATGTGTGGAGAGAAAAACGAAATGCCATTATCGTCTGTTGCACGGGAAACCGTCGAAATGGCGTAAACTCTAGTCTCTCGGTGCACTCCGACAGAGTTTCCGCCGCCGCCTCAGCGGGGTTCGAGAGAAAAAAAAATCGACGGACCTTGTGCGAGACCCGACCACAATACGATATTATTATTATTATTATTATTATTGTTTTACGAGTGCTTCGTCGTCGCTACACCATTATGATGGTCGTAATACAACGACCACGGTGACGGTGACGACAATGCGACGATGACGACGACGACAATAATAATAATAATAATAATAATAATAATAACAATATTAATATTATTATTTTAAACGGAGGTGGCGACGTCACTGCGTACAGACAAATTTATCGTTATTACATTCGGCGGCGGCGGCGGCGGCGGCGGCGACAACTCTCATCTCAGATTGTTAATTGATTGCTTGTCGCAAATCATCAAAACACGACACTAAATTATATTATCGCGAGTGTGCGTGTGTGTCGTGTACCCTAAACACTTGTCCGATTTGATGTAGACGCGACCACACTCGTACGAAATGATGAACGACGAATATTAATTTAGTCGAATCATCGCAGCTGCGTACAGAACAGACCGGTCGGGCAAAAGTGGCGACTTGAGCGTTTAGTTTTAGTTTTTCGTAATAGGTACGTCTCACAATAATTCACTCGTTATTTACACCGCCGTCGTTTACAAAAATAGTAACGCGATTCTTATTTAGATTGCTTACGTGTGCTCTCGGGTGTAAAAATAAATACGATGTATATTAAACAAAATGTTCGACCGGATGAATTGCTTTTATAATACTACAATATTTGTGGCTTGGCGGATCCGCGGTAACGCTCCGAGCGTACCGGCCGTCGTTGCCAGCACTCGGATGGGTGACCACCCGGGTTTTTAGCAACACATCTTTGCCGCACATACAAACGTGTTCCAACCAAACACCGGCCCTCCCCTCACAGTACCAGGCTAATGGTCTTAGTAGTTGAAGCCTTAATCCAAATTAAAAAAATATATAATACCTATAATGTTTTATAATGTCTTTTTTTCATATTTACTCGCATTATACGGTTTTAAAACTTCTCGGATCGACATCCCGGTTTTTTATTCGTTCGAATCTAATTAATTCATCACGTTTTACGACGCCATTGATTGTACACATTCGACATTTCGAATAATATCCGATAGGTACTACCAGACCACGTATATTGAAAAAATAATATGTAATATTGTAATATACTAATATTGACCGGCCGTACATATTTATTTTGTTATACAGTTCAGACTTTATGTGAACCAATAAATATTCGTCGTAATCTCTGGTAAATATAAATAATAATACATTTAACAATATTATAACACGTGACACCCACCCATGAAGATAATAGTATGCTTATCGTTAAAACAATAAACTATACTCACTGCACGCGATAGTAACTTTAATATATATATATATATAACATAAATGCATACAATACAGTCGAGAGTAGATAACTCGAATCTCAAAGGGTTTTCGAGTTATCGAGGCTCATCCGCTCGTCCTACCATATGTGCGCAGTATAATATATTAAATAAACAGAAGTACTGCAGGGTGGGCCACACCGGACACAACAAATGATTTTTTTTCAAATAGGTATCCGTCAAATATAAGTACTCAAATGCGATTATATAATATATTGTGGTATAACAGCGAAACGATATTATGGTTATGACAGTGCACGGAAAAAATAATTATTATTTATGAACATCATACCCCGAGTCAAGACGTGTTGTAATAATGAGCATATTGCACGTTTTACCTACACTCGCGTCCGAACCTATAGTCTAATGTCTATATGCAAAATGTAATAGACCAAACACTAACCAGGTGAGTTACGTGTGCTTAAACATATGGTATATGAGACTATAATAAAGTTTCAACTACGATAAAGGAGATGACGACTTTTCGCGTCTTAACGCATGTGTTGAAGTTTCCGTCTTAAAACAAACGACTACAAGACGGAAAATATGCGTTCAGCAGAACTTGAATTTACTTTCAAAACTCGTTAATTTTAATATTGAATTGGATTTCTCGATCATCAAACTCAAACGTAAGGTGTTATTATTATCCGTGTTTGTCTGCGTTGGTTTTTATGCGATTTTTTAAAATAATTATTCTCGAGCCAGTTATGAGTATAGGTACTCGTATCTAAAATATTAATTGCGATTTTAAAATGCTCATGACTCGCTCTCAAAATTGTAGAAATATCGCAAACAACCAACGCGCAAGCACGTGGCTAACGTTCTTAAAATTGAGTTCAATATTCACTTAAACAGTATTAAATATGACAGGGCATATATAGTAAGTTAGTCATGATGTATAGTTTTGTCATGATGTACACGTTTGATGTTATTTGTTAGAGGGTCTATACGCAACCCAAAGGTCCCGAGATCGTGTAGGAAATTAGAAAGTAACAGGAGACATACGATGCAATAATATTGACATACCAAATAAGGCACGTCGTAATAATATCCGTATTTCACTCACAAGGAGCGACATATTATTAAGGATTCAAATATTTTATGGTGATGGCATTTTAATAAACTCTTATATCAGTCCACCTAATGTAGCTATTATAGGCGTCTTTTAAAAGTCGATGTGCTTGAGCTAGAATTTCGAGAAAACCGATCTACGATGTCCGCTCTACGTGCATTTTATAAAATGGCGAGTAAAACTGAAAAAAATTATTACGTTCGATATTATTATCCTCACGCGACTGTTATTATTGCCACGGGGGAGCGTTAACCGCAGTCGGATAATATGAAACGAATTCGCCTTTTATACACAAATATATATCATAATATTACATACGATCGTGGCGATATAGCATACAGCGACATGGGGCCCGGTCGGAAAATACCTA